TCTGCTCCCAATTCTCCTTCCTTAACACCTTAAAAACTTCTGCCCACACCACTTGCATGAAACTGAACTCCTAAAGTTAGTCAATATTGTCTTACTCTGAAGTCAGTGGACTTTCTCAGTCCTTGTTTTTCTTTACCCTTTTAGCAGCAGGGGAAACTGCTCGCCAATGTTGATTTCTATGTCCTGCCACTGTCTCATGTCTTCCTTTTCATACATTCCAAATGTAGATATCCCTAGGGGTTTGAAATTGGCTCTCTTCCCTCCCTTTGTGCATTCTCTCCCTCCGTGATCTTATCCATTCCTTTGGTAGTATCTCCTTTCTGCTAATAGACTCCCATATCTCTATCCCTAACTGTGGCCTTTCCCCCAACTGCCCATTTGATAGGAATGTCCCAAAGAAAATGAGAATAGCCCACCTCTCACTCAGACTACGCTCGGTCCAAACTTAACACTTTCTTCTTGAAATAAATACACCCCTCTGGCTGCCCTATTTCTGTTTAGGGTATTTCTTTCCAAGTTACCTAAATTCAGAATTTTGGAACACTCATGGGGCCAACTAATTTTCCTACACACACCTATCAAATAATCTGTTTATTACCCTTGTATATCCTTTTCCATTCCGCTGTGTATCTGTACTTTAGGATCTATTATGCTGTGTGCCTATACTATTACATTGACCTTTTATTTGGTTTTCCTAAGGCTGCATCTCTCATCTCTACTTTCCCAAACTCAAAACATCCTTCATTACATCATATAACAGCCATCCTAAACTACCACTTAACACAATTCTGGAATACAAACTCCTAATTCATAGTATGGTATTCAATGTCTTTCATCTGGTTTTGGCTTAGTTTCCAGTTCTATCTTTCCTTACTCTTCCTCTCTGCCCCCAGCCCTGGCAATATAAACCACATCTGCTTACTGTTTCTTGGGCATAGTTCATGCTTTCTGAGCTCCATGCCGTTGTTCACGCATATGCCTCTACCTGCCAGAATTCTCTCTCTTCTCCTCCTCCTGCTAAAATCTTCACCTATAAACATCCTATCATTTCAAGATTCTCTAAGTTTGCCAACTCTGACTCAGTGCCTTCTAGGATCACTCCAGTTGAAAGTCATTTCTATTCCTTGTGCACTTTTCTAGCACCTAGCTTATATCACTCACAAAGCACTTATTAGCTATTTACTGCTCTGAAGTGTGAAAATTTGGATCCATGTGTTTTCTCTTCCACTCCTTCCCCACATTAGCTAGTACCTTTCTCAAGGTCAAGGTTAATTTTTCATAACTTTGAAATCTCACTGCACTTGACAAAGAGTCCTACATAAAGCTGGAATTTCATAAAACATAAGTTGAACAAATTCAGACTAAAAACAACTACATCTAGTAAAATACAAGATATATAGACCTGATCATTAGTAACTACTCCCTTCTAACTCTAAAGTGTACTAAAAGCCAAGTAAAAGGGGGTGACTTTGTACTATGCAAATTCCCTATTCTTCACATTAAAAATAATTTTTAAGTCCATAAGTTAATGCAAAATTTGGCTTCATTCCCACAGGAGGAACAAAACAGTTTCATTTAAATGTTACCTCTAGTCCTCAAGAGTCAGCGTTTTTTGATGTGCACTAAGTGGGAGAAAAGATAGAGAAGAGTGTTGTCTTTTTAAAGTAACCTCCACAGAAAGATTAATTTTATTTATAAAAATGAAAAACTAAAAGTGGAAAACTTAAAACAGCAATTTTGGTAAAGAGTTTTCCCATTACAGAAATATGTTGTAATATAATATGAGGTTTACTTTTAGAGGAATCACCCCCAAAATCAAATAAATAGGATTAAAAATTTTAATGGTGCCATTTTTGTAATAAATATTTCTCTAATTGTGCACTTTAGTAAATGACAATGTATTGAATAACCCTGATGAAGAGACAATATCAGAATCTAAAACTTAAAATTATATGTGCCTGCTAATTTAGACTTCTTTTATTATTTTAGCATTTTATCAGTGGAATTCTTTGTATATAAAATAATACAGGAAGTTAACAATTTTAAAGTAAATTGTATAGAAAAATATGGCTTTTGTAGAATAGAAAAAATGCAGAAATTCATCATGGAAAATATTGAAGAAATGGAATAGGTACTTTATTAAGAGAGAAATATATCCTACAGAGAATCAACAATCTTTTTAACATGACGATAATAAGTGGTAGCATACAGGGTCGAGACATCTTTTACTGTGTATAGTCATGATCTGACATGAGCATTGCTAAAACATCCAGTGTCCCCCACATACAGCTGCAGACTATTACAGCTGAACATTTAAACAATAGAAAAAAATGCTTTATAAAAAATCAGACTAAGATTAGATTACCATGTAGACAAGAAAAATAGAAAAGAGAGTGAAACTACTTAAATAGGGAATGGGAATTGAGGTCTGTTTACTATTTTCTCATATAAGCAGGTAACTGAAATTTATTAAGTTAAAGCATAGAAATAACACAGAATGTTTTTATGACAGAGAATAAACAGCTATGAGCAAGATAAATGTTAGATGGATGCTCTAATTTAGATCAGGTGCTAACTGTTAATAAATCATTACAGGGGCTATGGTTTAACTAGGTCTCCGTTTCAGAAAAGAAACTTCTGTTATTGCCAAGGTTTGTATTTTATCAGGCATCTTACTTACCTAGATTAGGTACAGAAAACCAAAACACAATTCATAAAACAGACTAGGGAAAGACCACATCTGTTGATCCATCAACTGTAACATCATTTACTTATTGTTAAACACAAACTTTGTATATTATCCAAGTCCATAAAATACATAATTTATTGTTACCAGATAAGGGAAGTATCATTTGAATAAATGCATTTTTCAAAAGTAGTCCTCAGCATGTTTATGAAGAAACTTCTCTGGGGTTTCAGAAAAAAACCTGAGTTGGAGATTAAATATTGATTTTATGATCTGGCTAGTCATTTAAAATAAACAGTATCACAAGTCAGTTTTAAATCTTGTGGTGCCTCAGTGTCTTTTTCATTTTTTGGGTCAGGTCAGATAGCTCAGATAGCTTTTTTCTCACAGATCCATTACTGTGTGCTAAAGAACACCATTTGATCAACCACTTAATAAAAATAAAAGTGATGCTTCAGTAACTGATACTCAATGAATAAAAGTTGAACTTATCATTTATGAGGCATATTAAGAACATTATATTAATGTGAAGGGAACAGATAAAAGAAAAACATAAAACCCTGATTCCTGTCTTCAATGAAGTTAACTTTAAGGCCTCAAATTCAATCCTTTACGTAGAAATGCTATACAAAGATGCCCAACTGGGACATTTACAAAGCTGGGCCTCCTGCCCACCTCCTCGTGCACGTCCTAACTCCCTTTTCCTGCTCCAATATTTTTCTAAGCACTTATCACTGTCTGACATACTATACATACTTTGCTTATTTGCTTTGGCTCCATCTCCTCAGGCTAGATTGTAAGCTCCTAACAGGCAGGCATCTTGTCAATTTTATTCACTGCTGTATATCCAGTGCCTAGAATAGTGCCTGGCACTTAATAGGTACTCAGTAAATATTTATGAATAAATAAATGAGAGGACCATTTATAGACTTCTGGATTGCGTTTCCTCTCTAAGATACAATTGTATTTTTTCCATCAAGCTTTCTCTTATGCACACAGCAGCCTAGTTACAATGTGATTCCACTTACTAGCTGTGATACTGGATGAGTTATTCATTTCTCTGAGCTTCAGCAGAATGGGGATCACAGAAGTATCTGTGGGTTGTTGTGAGAAATGAACGAGGGAATTCACAGAAATACTTCACAGGATGCTTGACATATGATAAGTATTCAATAAATTTTAGCTGTTATTATTCTTACCATTATAACTATTAAATTGTTTTCTTCTGTTGCAAACAGCTCACTAATTCTTGAAGTACCTCATAATTAATGAAACAGGACATTTATATTTAAGGCTAAGGTTACATGTGGTTGAATCTCCTGAAAAAAAAGCTACTTCCTGTGTGAGTTGCTTTCAAGGAGTATTAATCCTCCCTTTGTGCTCCCACAGGACTGTGTATACCTCTGTATGGGAATCGCCACACTGTACTTCAATTAGTTGATTATGTTCAGTCTTCTCTGCTACACTGTGTGGTCTTTTAGGGTATGAAATCTCTGTATCCTATCACAAAGCAGGCAGTCTGTACATGCCTGCCCCATGGATGAGTTACTGTAAAGAATGAGACTGATCCCATTATTTGTAGTCACATCACACGTGCACTTTCATTACTGTTTCAAAATTACATTTCTCAATAGATGGTGTAGATCTAGAGAGCAGGGCAGAGGTTTTAGTGTTGGAGGGTGATGCAGAGAGTGTATGAGAATAAAAGCAACGCACTGGAATTCAGTGATGTGCTGCAAATAAAAAACTGCTTAGAAGACTGATACAAAACCAGTTCTTATTTTTTCATAAATGGTTACTCTATTTCAATAGTAATGATCTAATTTATATCCATCTTACTTTATGGAAGTGTGACTACCCAGGGAAAAATTCTAATAAAAACATACTTGATAAAGTTGAAAAGCACAGTTATTAGAAATGAGGATTGTGGGATAGGAAAGAAGCACACTGCTGAAGGTTTGACTACACGTAAGAATCAAAAAATACTTCCAATGTTAGAAAGTCCTTAGGTATTTAATACTGCAGCAAAAACACTTTCAAGGAACTAATTTTAAAAATCAACCAAATGCAAAGTATTTAATAATGCTAAAACCTGTATTCAAATGATAAAAATTTATGGTGCTCTATGGAGGATAGAAAACAGCCAAGAAGTCTGAGACTGGCAGATGTGATTGTTGAATGAGCCATTTAGTGGATATTCAGAATAAGAGATTGGAGAGAAAAAACCCAGGATCACGAGGCGTCTATGTCTGAAACTATCACGCACTGTGAGTCTACCTCTTTGAGCAACATTTCTCATTAGGAAAGTACTTACATTAGGCCTCAGCTTGGCCGCCAGATCATAATACTTCTCGGCTGCTTCATTGAGGCTAGCCTGTCTATTAAAGAGAAAAAAAAAAAAAATCAAACGGTATCATATTATTTTAAAATTGCAGATAGGTAAACCGAATCATTATGCAACAAAATAATACTAGCTTTTTAAAAATTACAATCACATCAATCAAACAATAAGCTGCCTAAGCAGGAAAAGATCATTAAAAATTGAATGCACGCAATGGGCTTGTCATTGTCTCTAAGGCATTATAAACAGTATTTCAACATAATCCTGTTCGGTAGGTATTATTATCTTATATTTACATATTAGGAATTAGAATGTTATTTTCCTGTTCCAAGCTACCCCAGATAATATGTTACAGGGTTGGGATTCTCCAGCTTCAACATGATGTCCCAGAATAACCTTAATATTTTCAAATACATTGTCAAAATTAATACTTAGTTGCTTTTGGTTTATGAAAATGGTGAACATTGCCATTTTTGCTTTTAATTCTGTATCTACCTAGAAAGCCACTTTCTTTCCGATTCAGGAGGGGAACCTTCCATTGTGTGTAGCCTATTGAAAAAACAAAGGTCAGCTTCTCCCCCTCCTTGCTTTCTGGCCACCAGAGTGGGCAAATGACATAGCCTCAGCTAACTGGATGCTCTTGCTTGGGACGTTCATTTCTAAGTGAGTGACAGAGAGATGAAGGAATGGCTAGAATTCACTCACAGTGGTGGGAGCAACGGGGCTATGTCCCAGCCAGATTTCTCCTGTAAAGAACTGCCATTGGAAATCCTGCTGCTTGATCTCTGGGGCTACCTTGTCTCCTGCTGATTCAAGCTATGTCTTCCAGCCCATAGTGAATTCTGTAGTTCCCACAGCCTTCAAATAGCTAGAGTCATTTTCTCCTGATTACCACCAAATACCGTGAGTGGCACAGTTGACCTATATAAATAAGATGCACACTGAATTTTAAGGCTAAGCATATGCATTGTCTATTCTCGCAATTCACAGCAAACCCCTAGGTTCAGCCAACTAGTTAGTAGAAGAAATAAAATTTCAGGGTCCTGAGGAAGCCCAATCAATTAGCCATCAAAACACAATACATTTTTCCATCATGCCATGCTGCTTCAGAAACCTTCAAATATGGTAGATAATAAGAGCTAGAAGCTCTTGCAGGTTGTGCTGTAATCTGGTAACTATATGTGAGAGGTACAGAATAAACACTACAGAAAAATGTCAAATTCAACTTCAAGATTACATATACAGCACAGTTATAATGTGAACGATAGTCGTAAATGGTTTGGGGTCCTACAGTTAAAATGGAGTAGTGTTCTCTTGAAACTGTGAAGTTAAGAAGCTTTTGAGATGAGAAGATGGCAGAGTGATCAGGAATAAAGAAGAGAAACAAAAATTAACTTTCTCAATTAGAAAATCATATTCAGGTTTTAAAAGAGAAGGCTAACTAGCCACACCTATAAAATTGAATTTGCACTTTGGTCAAGCCCAATAAAAACTATAAAGACATACCCTGTGCAACCATATAAATTATATGAATAACTGAAGATAACATCTCTCTGGAAAGCAGAACATATATTTTTTTTAATTTTTAAAGGAAGAATAATTAGAAACACTATTTTTAATAGGGTTATAGAGAAAGTAAAAACTCTTGACCTCAGGCTCTACTGGACTCACGACATGTTACAACGTGCTGTTGCAATTTATATTCTCATAAATGTTGAAGTTCAATTTCAGTATGTCAAGAAAAGTACTTTAGTCTGGTATGGAACAGTAAAAATTCCCTCGCTAGGGTATTTAATGAAGGTTTCCTCCACCAAATTATAGAATCACTTTGGTTCAGATTCATTTGGAAATATGAACCAGAATACATTAGGTCATGCCCTGGAAGGGTTTTCTCCAGAGAAAAATAAAAGGCCCGGAGGTAGGAAATTAGAGTAACTTAATACTACAAAGAAGTAAGTTACTTTGAAGAAAAGTCGACCAATATATGTCTAATACAGAAAGTATAGCTACCATTAATATTCATCTTTATGGAATTCAAATTCATGAGGTAGATAAGGATCAAAAGAGAAACTGAGGAACTCACTAGATGAAATGCTTTTAAAATAATAATCAACACAATTGAAAAAAGGTTTCTCCCCCTCAAAAATGGTTACTAGTTTTTAAAGTCTTCATTGTCTTCAGAGGTTTAATTCCTAAAGGAAATATCTAGTTTAGAAAACAGTTTCTTAAGCTAGAAGTAGAAGTGACAATATTCAAACGAAATAGAAAAAAGAAGTAGAATTTATTAGATTTGTCATGTAATTGTGAAAATTAATTTTCACTCTAGACTTTGCTTCTACCGTCTTTACTGACTACCAATCAGCAAGCGCTTATGAGAACACGTGGCAAACTGTAGGGAAAAGAGTATGCCACTTCTATCCACTGAATGTTCATTCATATCCTTGTTTTATTCTCTAGACAAGAGAGAAAACTCATGAGGAACTGTCCAACGTCCACTTCACGGTGTAAGCTGCATTTCATACGCCCTTCTGCAAGGAGGGTGCTGGGAGTGCTTAAAAAATCTTAATCGCAAAGATGATTGAATCATTAATAGACATTTGAAAACTGAGGAAATTAGCAATATTTTGCCAGTTGCTTAGGGGATTCTACTAAATATTGTCAAGAACCTCAACCACTGGATTGTTAGAGACTGATTGCAAGACTCAGGTTCCCAGGACTATTAGGACTGAATTACTTAAAGCAGCTGAGAAAATACACTTTTTCTGAATACCCATACCCTTTCTTTCTTCACTTTTTTTTTTTCCAAGAGAGAAAATTTCTAAATCATCTACCTATGTATCACTTATATAAAATACCAGGAATTGATTATTCCATGTTCCAGTTACAACACTACCATGAAGTAACTGCTATCATTAACCACATTTTAAAGATGATTAAAATGAGGCTTAGAGAAGTTGATAATTTACCCAAGGTTACATAGCTGCTAAGTGGTTGAGCTGGGGGTCAAGGATGCTACAGCTAAATAGCTGCACCACAGGATAATGCTGGTATCTTTGTGCATCAACATGTATCTGAGTGACGCGTGATATACTGTTCTGTGGTAGATGACCAGGAAAATTCCTACATCAAATACTAAGAAAGGAAGAAAACACGCTTTTTGATTATTATGTGTAAAAAGCCATGATTAAAATGTAAGAGACGAGATTCGAAAAGGGGAGAATACGGAGAACATTTGCAATTACAGGTTTTACTTCCTGCCCAACTCTACCTCCCAAACTTACAGAAGTGAACTTCACCAGCCCAAATTGTGCAGAGGATAGTTTTAAGAATAAACAGAGTGATGGGTTGTAATTAGTATTTTGGTGGTGAACATGATGTAATCTATGCAGAAATAGAAGTACAATGATGTACACCTGAAATTTTTACAATGTTATAAACCAATGTTACTGCAATAAACAAAAAATTTGAAAAAAATAAAAAAAATAAAAAAAAAAAAAAAAGAATAAACAGAGTGAAATGCACTACTGTGTTTTGCCCCATGTCTCTCACCCTCTCCCCAAAAGGAGGGAAAGGGAGGGACTCAAGGAAAAAGCAAAGAAAAAGGGAATGAGGAAAAGCAAGAACAGTGCTGGATACTCACTTTCTTACCCTTACAATCTCCCATTTTAGGGAGGGGGTCACAATCAGATATGGGCGGGAACCATAAGTTTCCCATATGTCCACATGGGGGACTTAGCAGGTGGGTAAAGGAGGAAGTAGTTGGCTCCGCCAAGAGATCTCCCAGGCCAGATGTTGATAACCTTGTGTTTTGCCCACGATACACTTCACAAAGCCAGGAATGAAATGGTGAGCAAGAAAAATCACTCATACCAGGAAGGTACAATGGGTCTAGACCCAACGACCCCCACCTCACTTACCACCCTGAGTCAACATTAAGTTATGTACCATATCTAGGGAATAAAGATTCAATCACTATGCCAACAACAGACTTATCCAGTGGAGACTTGACTGGAGGCTCCTTTCTCATTACCAACTCCTGCCCATCACATATGTAGGGCCTTCCCCCTTTTTTCACATTATCTGTGGCCTTTCAGGGCCAGGAAAGGTAAGAAGATAGAAAAAGCCTACATGATATTTATAAACTGGACTATGAAGTAAACCTTGAATTCCCAAGAAATCACTGGCTTGAGATGATTATCTTTTAAAAGTCTTTAGATTCAGTTTTTCTGCCATCAGTAGGCTCAGAGTGAAAACAAATAGTAACAAAAGTCACAAACATCATTATTTGATTATAGAATTCCATTTTTTCACATGGGACTACGAAACTTACAGCTGTTAAAAAATATAGAAACATATTTCATATATCTAATTCCTCTCTCTGGTGTTATTTTATGATAGAAAAGTGTCTTTTGGAACACAGGTTTACAGCCCAATATTCTTACAAGAAAAGATGTATAAAAGAAATTTGGGAATCAATTATGTTATGAAATAACAACCTAATACATCCCGTGAAATGTTTGAGGAGAATCTAATTAAAAGAATCACTTACAATTACCTATATTTTTATGTATTCTGTGAGAATTATAAAATTAAAGGTTACTAAATTTAAAACTGCTTCCTTGAAAACATAAAAATATAAAAACTGTAGTAGCATTTAGAAGACTCTCTTTAACTACAATTATTAATAGCCGTAAATTGTTAATTTTGAATTAAAAATTATTTAATATGGATAATAGCCATAGTTTGACTCATACAAAAGACAGTATTTTATTAAAGTCTTGGTGATTATTTTCAAGGATAACTTAGGAGCATTTTTTTTTAAATAGAGAGTTGTTTGTTCCTGTTTGTTCATGAAAATAAAGTGAAATAGTAGCTGAATTTCCCTGGGTTCTTGCCAACTGCTAAACTGACACTTAGCTTTAAGTTACTCAAAGCAGCACTAAATTTTAATTCTAATTGATAAGTTGTACAGTAAGAATAGAAGTAGAACTGAAATAAACAAGGATATAACCAGAGTCACACATATGTAAAAACAAT